TAATGATAGATGAAGTGTTAGTTTAGCCATTCTTCATTGGAATCACATTGAACACACATATTGCCACAGTTTCTTGTGTGTTTTGTCATTTCTGCTCTAGACGGTGGCCGTGACCTGGTGGTCTCTGTTCAGAGATTCGCTGTACTACATCTTCTCCGTGCTGGCCTTGATTTTGGTGAGTGTATGTGTGACTGTACATACGAGAGAGAGAAATAGTATAATGCAGTTTCTCCTCTGTTTTATTAAGGTATGAACATGGCATCAATAATGATTGCCAGTACTGGTCTGTAGATTTACTTCTGTGACAAATTCATCTGAAACTTCTGGTCATTTAACCCCTTCATTTTCTGATTTTATCCAGGTTATCTATGATGAAAGAGTTGTATGGTAAGTCTCATAACTACACCCATATCCACATGTTTAAGCAGTTGAGAAACATTGTATTGTATTTGCAGAGGTATTACAGTACTGTAATTATCTAGAAGCATTAGGAAGGTAATATCGTTGATTAATTGCTTTTTTTGATGAAGCGTCTGCTAAATGCATGAATGTAATAAAAATGTACACATATGAGAGCTGTTTTAATAATCTTTGTATCATTAATGCATTGTTACAGGTGGGAATCTATGCTTCTGATCTCCATGTATGGAGTCTACATCCTTATCATGAAGTGAGTATCATGCTGTTCTCCATCAGAGACTTTAGTACAAATACTGAATACCTTCACAGTGCATTTAGAAAGTGTATTGAATAGTGCTCTTAAAGTATTCAGGTGCCTCTATTTTTATCACCCATTTTTTTAATATTTTAGAAGATATTTCAAGATTTTCCAAAACACCAAACCTTTTTCTTTTTTCACACACTTCATCCCACAATTCATGCTAGAACGCTGTGAAATTTGGTCAGATTTGAACTTGGTTGTCAGTAAAAGCTTGGTCACAGGCATGTCAGAAATATTGGTGTATTTTTATTTTTAATGGAATGCAAGTTAAAGAGTGCTACATTAATGCACAAACATCATAAAAGCATAAAAATGTATGACATTTTATGCCATGCATTGTGCCATGTTATAAAAAATAAGTTATAGTTTATTTAGTTAAAGTTTAACATTAAAATAAATGAAAGCACTTTAATAAAAATACATGTTTAAAATTTCTTCTTTTAAACCCTTTGGCTATCTTTGTTAGACTTCCACTGTAAGTGCATTACTGAAAACACATTTTCCTTCTTTGCAACCTGCGAAACAGTTCTTTAATGAACCGCAGGCCACATATATTGGCCATAGAAATTAACTTATGTGTTGTGTGATGAATGAAAAATAAGTGCTCTTAATTATATTGAATGTGCATGTATATTTGAAAAAAACTGTACTTGCAGATTATATACAGTATGATTAGGAAAATAAAAGGCCACTTAAGTGACACTTTAATGTTTCTTAACACACTTTTTAAAAAGTGGCCTTTGTATTGATGTCAGATTAAGTTTGTTAAATTTCATATTTCAAAGACAACAGAAATAATCATGAAATTGCATATAGTGATGTACTTAAGTGGGTCAAAAACATAGCTAATTGCATTTAACCTAATCTGTAAAACATTTCCATTTAATTGCAATTAACATGCAATTAAGTGTTCAAAAACATTTACATCCAGTTTGCACTTTCAAAGTATGTCATAATAAGTACACTTAAAATTATGCTTAAAGTTTAAAAGTGTGCTAAAGTGTACTTTTTTTCAAGGGATTTAAAAACATGTCATACTCCTAAATGAATACAAATATTTATTATTATTATTATTATTATTATTATTATTATTATTATGTATAAGTACTCAGTTGAAAAAATGTAAAGTCAAAAATATGTTTAATTAGAGTAATTAAGTACTATTACTAAAATACTTCACAACAGGAGAGAACCCATAATATGTTCATAAAAAGACATTTGTTGAGTCAGTTTTATTAGCATAGCACTTTTAACAATACATACTGTGTTTCAAAGCAATGTTACTAAAATTTGTGCCTGAAAACTAAAGGCTGAAGGCTAATGTGTTAAGAAAAAACTCCCTAGATGGTCAAGTCTTAGAGGAAGAAACCCTAGGGGGGAACCAGGAAAGTTGTAGTGTAACAAACAATCATAAAATGAATACTGTACTCTGAAGTCTTTTTCTGGGCTACGTTTCCCGAAAGCATCGCAAGCTTAAGTACATCGTAGACCCATTGAAACCAATGGAGCTACGATCAACTTAAGCTTGCGGTGCTTTTGGGAAACGCAGCCCTGGGAGTTTTACTCTAAAATTGAAATTTGAAGAGTTTGAAAATCATCTTCAAGATCAAATAATAGCCCAGACCAAAATGTCTTGAAGCTATACATTTACACAGACCTCCCTATTGCTTCAGTCATATCAGTTCAAGCTTCTCTTTATTGCTTTGCGATTGCAAATGCACGCCACCTCTTGCATGCGTATGAGAGAAAGCAGCACGTTTCATGTATTGTTTGGAAAGGAGAGCTGATGAGTAACAGTGTTGTAGAGACGAAACAGCTTCAAGAGAGATAAGAGCGAGATCTTCTACATGACAATAAGCTACGTTAAGCACCTTTTAAGGCCATTAGGGAAGGCTTGAGCTGTTTGAGCCTCAGATAAACATCCCTCCTCTCTGTTTTGTTGGAGGAGGGAAGCTGAAGCTTGTTTTGTCACAGAGACGTTGATAATTCAAATATTATACATTTATCCCATACAGATACAACAGTCCTGTTGAAAAGATGAAGAATATGTTGTGTTTTGGATCTGTCGCCAGCAGATGCCTTAAAAAGAAACAGCGATCCAAAAACCTTTGGAGAACCTTTTGAAGTTTATATAAGTCAACTGTGAATGTATAATAATACATTTATTGATACATTAAAAATATATATTATGAATAATTGACAATGAATTATAATTTCTTTATTAAAAGGATGCAATACTGATAAGCGCTGAAAATATGTAATTAAATTCAGAAAGATGAACAAGAATAAACATTTTATAAAATCAAAATAATGCTCTTACACAGTTTATATAATGTTTTAGCACTGAATACTTACAAGCAATGTGATTAAGGGTTGCTTAAGAAACACAAATCACAGATATATACTGATTTAAAAAAAAACTGTCCCACTAGAGGGTGCTAAAATTATACAAGAAGATTGTATGTATATACTGTGTGTGTGTGTGTGTGTGTGTGTGTATATTTTCAGTGCCATCTTATTTGGTCCCACTTTATATTAGGTGTCTTTAACATTTAAAATAATGAATTGTTTTGTTCAGTGTACTTATTGCATTCGTGCTGTATTGCAAATCACTGTTTCTGCTGTTGGGGTGGGATATTGGTAAGTTAAGGGACAGGTGTAGTGGTCTAGTTAGGTTTAAGAGGTAGGGAAAAAAAAAACTGTCCCACTAGAGGGTGCTAAAATTATACAAGAAGATTGTATGTATGTACTGTGTGTGTGTGTGTGTATATTTTCAGTGCAATCTTATTTGGTCCCACTTTATATTAGGCGTCTTTAACATTTAAAATAATTAATTGTTTTGTTCAGAGTACTTATTGCATTCGTGCTGTATTGCAAATCACTGTTTCTGCTGTTGGGGTGGGATATTGGTAAGTTAAGGGACAGGTGTAGTGGTCTAGTTAGGTTTAAGAGGTAGGGTTGACAGTGTAACTATATATGTAAATGAATAAATTAATTACATAAGTAATTAAAGAAAGGTATTTTTAAATATAAGTACAATGTAAAAACATGTATCTACACAATAAGTGCATTGTATCAAATGATTATTTGCAATTGAAAACAAGCATTCAGATTTTTGTATTTTAAAGAAGGTGTTTGTATGTTTTATTTCTCATGTCTTTTTAGATAACCGGTATCAGTCTCAAACAGGTTTGTTAAATAGTTTGCCAGGTCTTCTTAAGTAAATGGAAAACCTACTTTACCTACTTGATGTTGTTCCACATCATTAACACACAGTTTTCATGCAATATGGGGAGGAAGAAAGATCTTTCTGAGGATGAACAGCATGAAATAGTGCACCGTCGTCCAAAAGGCATGAAAAAAATATTTTGCACTAATCTCTTTGGCAGGTTTAACAGTCAGATCGCCAGCTTTGTCCAGAGATCATGTGGCAGTCCGGGCCAATGTTGTGTCAGGAGACAAACGTCCAGAGATAAAGAGGCTGATGAAGCGGGAACGAACGGCAACACCTCCGTGGTGCTGTTGAGGAAAGGTACTCATGCATGCATGTTTTGAATTGCTTTGGTTTTGCATGAAATGCATTGGTTCTTGTATCATGTGTAGAATCTGGGTCCTGAAGCAGAAGCGGTTTTTGGATTTGTTCTCAGCTCCAGCAGGTTCAGGACAGGAGTCTCCAGTGGTGATGGTGGATGAGCTGCTCATCTTGAGGCCACACCAGCTCTCATTCCCAGAGGCTGGACTGCGTCTCATGATCACACCGCATTTCTCTCCACGCACCCGTCTCACTATGGCCGGACGCATGCTCATCAGTGAGGTGAACTCCAACATCACTCTTTTATTTTTAATTATTATTATTTTTTAATGTTACATAATGCAGAGAATGTCCTATAAATTCCGATTCAATTGAATTAAGGTAGTAAAGAGGGTGCATGATTATAACATTATTAGAGTACGTTTTATGAGAAAATACTTATATTTGAGTCTTTCTACTTCATGTTTATTTCAATATTACTTGTTGTTTCTTTGTAAGTAATTGTGAAAGTTACTAGCAAGTGAAAAAATTTTTTTTCAGATATGTAAAAATATTGTGGTAGACATTTGTTGTGCTGGTTTACAAAATCTGTTTAACTTGATGGATGTTAATTCTAATCTAATAAATTGTTAAAAGTCTAATAAATTGTTTTGTCACGCGTGTCATATGTTCTATATATCATATAGAATAAATAGGACAGTTTGTCAAAATTAATAATGTAGTTTTTAGTCACAAAACTTGTAAGTACACTAATATTTTTTAAGTTATGAATGAAACATTATTGGAGCAAGTTTTACAGGATACTACTAATTCAGTTCAAAATTTAATTTGTAATAACTCTGTATGATGGCAACTGGCACTGGCACACCAGAATGTCAATTCCTCTTTTCCTTTGCTCATTTCAGAGACAGAGACTGCTCCGGGAGGATAAGATGAGCAGGACCTCAGTGAAGACATTCGGCTCTAGAGGGATAGTAAACGGAGGAAGTCTTGAAGCACAGCAGACACCTGAGGACACACAAACGACGGATGGTAAGAAAGGAGTGAAGGTGGAGGTGGAAAACTCTCAGGCTGAAGAAGGGATACTACTAATTCAGTTCAAAATTTGATTTGTAATAACTCTGTATGATGGCAACTGGCACTGGCACACCAGAATGTCAATTCCTATTTTCCTTTGCTCATTTCAGAGACAGAGACTGCTCCGGGAGGATAAGATGAGCAGGACCTCAGTGAAGACATTCGGCTCTAGAGGGATAGTAAACGGAGGAAGTCTTGAAGCACAGCAGACACCTGAGGACACACAAACGACGGATGGTAAGAAAGGAGTGAAGGTGGAGGTGGAAAACTCTCAGGCTGAAGAAGAGGATGAGGACAGGGACGAAATGTTCAAACCTCTCCATTTTCCTGGTTAGTGCATGAAACCAGATCAGATTCAAATAATTACTGTTAATAGCATGCAGAAAGTTTCCGTTATTGGTTTATTTTGCAGCTTTTGGTAGGCCTAGAGAATCTTAGTTACATATATCTAACATGTATATAACTGTATGTAATGTCAAGTCAAATTGAGTCACATTTATTTATATAGTGCTTCATACAATACAGATTATTTTAAAACTGCTTCGCATTAAAGGAAGAGTTAAACCCAAAAATGAAAATGGCCATCCAAGATGTAGATGAGTTTGTTTCTTCATGGGAACAAATTTGGAGAAATGTAGCATTACATCACTTGCTCACCAATGGATCCTCTGCAGTGAATGGGTGCCGTCAGAATGAGAGTCCAAACAGCTGATAAAAACATGACAATAATCCACAAGTAATCTACACCACTCCAGTCCATCAGTTAACATCTTGAGAAGACAAAAGCTGTGTGTGAACTGGAGTGGTGTAGATTACTTGTGGATTATTGTGATGTTTTTATCAGCTGTTTGGACTCTCATTCTGATGGCACCCA